TATGGTTCCGACACAGAGACAGGGAATCTTTCCTAACAGCAAAAATGTACAATCTTACACAATCTGTCGATATATACATGTTTATATGTTTGTCTATATATATATATATATATTATATATATATAAACATGTATATATCGACAGATTGTGTAAGATTGTGCATTTTTGCTGTTAGGAAAGATTCCCTGTCTCTGTGTCGGAACCATAGTACCTAATAAAGGAAACTAGTTATTGATCCCGCGAGTATCTGTCACGTGCGGTGACTTACTTTAACTCGCAACACAGAACGTATATCGTTTAGTCACACTTGAAATAAGTATTTAATATTCCTATATAAAAATGTGACAACAGATTGCTCTGTTGAAATGAAATAATCAAGTGGAATATTAATATACAATTAAATGTAAAATTTTATGATTTTAATATTTTAAAGAATGCAATAACGAATTTATATTTGTTGAATTTGTATTTATAAATGATTTATAACGATTAAATTACAACTTTAACTTGATATTAATACGAAACAAGAGGAATAAACTTCAATTAATCTAATTATGTAATTTTGTAGACTGCGTTTATAGACTGAACTTAAGATTGGCAAATATCCAACAAAAACGACAAAAAGCAAAATAATTTATATACAAATTTAAACGTTACCTCCGTGTTATTAGCAAGATTGTTCTACGTTCATCTTTTCTTTCTTCCGAGTATCTCCGCCTTTAGCTTTCAGTCCCGAATTTACTTAAAAATTTCTTAGTATTCAATGCACACTTTACGCTAAAACCATTTGTCCTAAACGAGCATAAATCTCAACTAAAACAAACTGTCCGCATTCAAGGGCAACGCAAAACAACATCAAACACCGAAATGAATTTAATGGGTGCTTTGAGTTCTGTACTTCATTACTCTTAGTGGAAACGAACATTATGTTGAAACTTAAAACCCAAACGTATAATAAACTGAATTTCGCCTATTAATTAATACCTAATAAAAATCTGCATCATTAGAAGTTCTACACTAAACTTCGTTTCTTAATTAATAGCTAGAATAGAATTAATTAATTGGTACAAAATGATCATTATACACATGTGTCTTGCTTTTCAGTTTCTGCACCTTTCAGTTTTATAAACTGTACACTGTTCGAAAAATGTATCTCTATTTTAATGTATACTGTCTCGAGACAGTAATTACACATCAATCTACAACGTCATGTTTGAATTATAGATAATGTCGATGAAGTTAATAATTAAAAGCTGATAACACTAATTACATGTTGTGCCAAAAGTTTACACGCAAACCGTATGCTTTTTACATTCGGACGCAAGTATAATGAATATTTGTAAGTAAAGTATTATAGATATAATGTCGATGAAACAGAAGCGTCGCCGAATGTAGAATTGCAATGTCTATCGGAACGCGGGTTCTCTCTCCCGAAAGCAGCAAAGCAGCGGTTTTAGGGTTCCCCTTTTCGACGCGCGCGACGGCGAGAAGAGGCGTTGAAAGACGAGAAAGTGAGATGGTACCTTCGAAGCATCGTGAAATAAGACAGGAAGGAGCGAGAGACGCGATTGTGACTTTTGAACGAGTTCCACTCTATCTCTCTTTCTCCTTTCTCCCCCCCCCCTCCCTCTCTCTCTCTCTCTCTTCTCGGCTGCTACGCATATTGTTCTATTTATGTAACCATTGTTCATCCATCGTTTAGGATAAATTTAGCTGGCAGACGAAGTAAGAGAGAGAGAGAGAAAGAGAGGGAGAGAGAAAAAGAGAGAGCTGCGCGGCTGGCTGCCGGTATGCCGGGTCGACTTTTTAAATGTTTCTTCTCTCGGGCTTCGATCCCTTACTCTTTCTAGCTGGCACCCTCTCTCTTTTCGGGTCTGTCCCTGCGTGTGCTATTAATGATACCGATTAATTTAGAACTATTGGGTTTCCCAATTAGCCAATCGGAGCTCGCGATATATGCCGCGAGAAGCCTACCCGTTTTTCGCAGCTTTCGGACCAAACCAAACATGGACAGAATTTACGAGACGACGTCGCGCGTACCACGGGCTTTTTTAACCGTCATTTTGGCTCGTCGGGTAAAAAGCCCAACGACTATCGTATTTTTTCTTTATATAATTCTTTAATCAAATTTCTATTAAAAAATTTACATTTTGCATAACGATTACGATATTTTCTCAAACAATGTTAGAGAAATATACAAGCTTATATAAAATTTAATGCTTTTCATAACTTAGTTCACCTTCTTCTTTTTCGCACTTCGAATATATATTACTGCTCTATAATTATATACCTCTATTTATCAGATATCTACTAGTACATATATATTTAATAAACTGAGATATCTAAACATGAAGCTATATATTAATCATCTTTCAACCAAACGTATCACCAAAGCAAAATATATATTTTAAAAATTTAACTATATGTATACACAATCGCGTACGTCTCTCGTAATATTAGATCACTGACGTATCCTGAGAGGACATATAATGTGTGTTAAAGCTTAAATAAAAAAGTTTCAAACATTAATAGTATGATGGGAGAATCACATTACGAAATGTATTAAGAAAGTATAGGAAGCCTCTAGCGAACCGATCTCGAATTTCTACTTTCTTACTCCCGTATTTCATCCCATGGTCTGCCAAATCTTATGCATGCTGATCGTGCCAAATACCTTCCTACGTTCCATCTATTTCCTCCTGGCAGAACGTTCGTGGATCCGTATTATTTTTATCTGGTCATTCACAGAGCCTTCGCTTCGGAGAGGAAACATTCCATTTTTTTTCTCCTCTTTCCCTTCTTTGCTTCCTTCTTCTCGTTTTGTATCGAGGCGCGTCTGGGAAAACTATAGATGTGCTATTATTTCGTGTTTCCCCGTTTCGCGAGCCGCATGTCGGTGCGATTATCGATAATCGTTAGGCTGTCTCGTCCGCCATTCAACTCGCATCGTCGGATCAGTCGCTCTGCCCTGTACCGTGCAACAAAGCTATAATTATTAGAGCGCGTCATCTGCGTAACTACCACGGGCTTTTATAAGGGCGTATTCTCACCCCCTTTCCCCTGTACCCTACTCCGTGACATCATAACTCAATATTCCTTCGGTATTATACCTCGAAAGAGGTGTACCGAAGAGCTCTTTGCCCATTTATTGTGATTACGAACTGGGTTGCGCACAACTACAGAATCACGATGAAATTCCTTCGTTCTAACTGGCACGCTCTCGGCCTGTCTAGTCAACGTGCCACAGGCATTTCAATTAAAACTAACAATTGATTCGTCAAAATCTCAACCATAAAATACAACGTTAATAGGGGCTTCAAAATTATTTCTTGCTACGTACGAAAATTTACTTTTTAGCCTTAGGTCCGTATCGTTCTCAGTGCTTCAATTAATCCGGCTAATTCGTCTGGCGCACGAGTGCGCGAACAGAATAGGAAGATCCGAGAACGAACGTGTGAGTCAATGCACGTACGTGAACCGAGGGAGAAAGAGAGGTAAAGATACAAGTTACTTCTTACATAGATAAGCAAGTAAAGCACGTATTTTAAGTCGTTCGCTATGTTGACTACGTCGCTGTCATTTATCGTGCATGCATAAATCAGCGCCGGTCTTGTTCGCTGCCTTATTCCGTGTAATCGTAAAAGATGACCCATCTTCCGGCGGATAATATCAAGGAAGTACACAAGCGATAATTACATTGCACAATAAATGATAACTTGCTCGACGCAAGTCCATAAAATAACACTGATTATAAATTTATCGTTAGGTAAAAGAAAATTAATAAAATTAAAAAAGACAAAAGACAATGGATCGATTAGTGATTGTTAGATTTAATCGTATTGCGAAACGATTTGAATGTCGAGTACAATCACGGTATATGCAGTAAAAGCTTAATTACCCGAAGATTAAGCCTAACCAGCGCTAGTATATAATACGAGAAACTTATCAACTTCACTTTTTGTAGTTTTTCAATTTCAAATTGTTAATTTTAGAGCAAATAATTATTTTATAAGTTCATCGATTTTCTTTAACCAATGCATTTATAAATTTATCAATTTTATTTCGTAGAATTGATCAGTCCGGCTTCTGAGAAGCTTATATTCTGCGTTCATCAGAAATTACGCAATTAAAGTGAATAGTCGAATTAACAGAAATGATTTGGAATAGAAATACAATAGATATATTCGGCTCTTGCGACATAAATCTTTTCTCAATTAAATGGGATGACTAAGAAATCATTTTTAGCTTTCGCTATCTGTTCTATTTGTATGCTCAAGTATATGAATTTAATTCTCGTTCCTTTATTCTTAAATTACGTTATATCTTGCTTTCAATTTTCTACACTTATTTATTGCACGATCGCTTATCAAAGTGCGTGCATATAGATGTATATATATAATGTGTAAGTGTATGTGAGTGTCCGCAGTGTATCGAGCTCGAATCCGTGAATTCGCTAAATCCAAATGACTGCGCGGATCAGTCATCCCTGCGGGATCTCGCGAAACTGCGAGGAATGCCTATACTCCGCCATCTCTCGGAGAGTTTAAGGACTTCTTCGACGATTTTACGTATTTCGTACAAAAAAAGGCGCTTTGGGAATTGCTAAAGTTTACCCTAAATTGTCAATATAGTCTTGGCAATCAGACGCGACTTATAATCGAAGAGACGTGAGCTGATAAACGAGGTGCTTTCGCGATATAATGCATTTAAAATTGATGAATTTACTAAATAGCATTTTAATAGTTTACACTTGAATCTTCTTCGTTTACAATTTAATTTTACCAAAAATTTCTTAAGTGTACTCGTTTTATATTACGGACATTTAATAGGAACTAATTTATTTTGTGCAAAAATAAGTTAGCTCGAAAATAACGACTGTTCTTTTTCAAATATCTTTCAAAGTAACACTTACATATAAGTAAATGTTGAAAATTAATTTATATCAATTCATGCCCGATTCACTAGTGTGTAAATACATATCAATATATTATTAGACAATATAAAATTAGAATACAAATTAAATTATTGCATTTTGACCCAAATCAAAATTAAAGATTAATCGATGAAATATATAATTCTAATGTATAATATAAATATTTATCATTGTAATACATAATTAACAAATCGATGCAAGCGTATTTTTTTTAAACGTGATTACGATATGAACGTAACGTACGATATATTCATATAATTCATCTACTATCGTTTCAATTCAGAGAATCACGCGTAAGAAAGAGGTAAAGCTCCCTTGCAAACTAAAAAGGACGACGGTCGGTTCTCACATTCTCGACGGTCTTTTAAAGAGAAGAGTTCCACGAGTCCTTTCCCATCCTATCCTGGTCTAACTCCCATGAGAAGTCGCTCCCGTACGTAGACCAGATTTATGTGTAAAATTCCCGCGCACCGCCCTCTTCGTCCGAGTTGACGGTGATGCCAGGAAACGATCCCTCAGGACTCAAGAATAAACTTAATCTTAACGACTGGGAGATCTGTATGATCGTCCGGACAACAATCATAATCTGATACGACGCTATCGAAATCATTCGAAACGTTCGCTGATGTATCGCCTGAGTGTACTGACATAACAAAAAGATTATTCTTGCAACAAATATTTTAAGCATGACGAGATAAGAAATATCAATCTCTAAAAATCACTGTGTCGCAATTGTAATTTAACTCCGGCTTCTTCTTAAAATTAACTCAAAATGTGCTAAAATTTTCGATTCTAACACTATGTTTGTTTATAATAGATTTCATATATATACATATATATATATATATATTAAATATATAAATAGGTATAGTTATATTATAAAATAAAATCTCATATCTATTAAATTGTTTAATCGCGATATAAGAGATAGACTCGTGCGATAATTCATTTTGTGTCTATAGAATCAATTAACTGATGATCAATCAAAAACTGATAAATAATAGAAATATCAGTGGAATTTTAGTCAATCTATTATTTATAACGATTTGTATTATATAAATCGAGAAAATTACATAGAATTATATAGTTGGAGAAATAAGCTTGTGCTACTCATTAAGACGCGTAAGCGAAGATATATAACCCAACAAAATTCCATGCATACCAGGATCATCCCGAGACCACGTAATAAGTTAATCATGAAGTTATGCAAGATGAAGAAAGCCGTGAGGGTTTTACAATCTCGGACATTTGCAGCTTTCCACAGTTCCCCCCCCCCGCCCCCCTGAACTTTTACTGCGTGTTGCAACTTTCTCTGTGAATATTTTATTTTGTCCTAGAGCTGCTACTTGCTATATAGAAACTATTTAAAGCGTAGGACTTTTTCGAATGCATTTTCCGAAAAACTCGACTGTCTTTTTTTCCTCAGACTTGAGTAATTCTCTCTCTTTCCGTAATTATCCAGTTTGCGAGTTACCGCATATACGGTAGTTCGTACTCGAAAATCATAGATCTTGCAATTCTGCGTGGGTACTATCGTTCGAAGCAAACTAATGTTTCCTCAGGCCACTTAATAATTCCGCACGCGGTGCGTAGACGCGTGACCTGGACAGTTCCCACGCACGATGCGGAACACCACGCACCAAAGTGACGTATCACATACGTGATCATGTTCTAATGCATCGTACGTTTCTTCGGAAATAACAATTAGACGGCAAACAAGGCTACTTATAACGCAATCTTGCGGTTGCCGTGGAAGCTTAGTTCCATTCTTCGAAGCAGCGCAAATTATATTATTTAAAAATTCAAAGTCTCTTTTACTATTTGCTGAAAGAAAAATATTTTAGAAAAAGTGTTTATTCTTTCTTACAATATCTATTCTGCATTATAATTTGGAAATTAATTATTTTTCCCATTTCATGAAAATTTAAAATTTATGAAACATTATGTTGTCAGCACGTTCGTTCTAGTGCAAAGTTTAACTGTCCCGCACGTACAGGGGAACACCTCTCTCGTATTACCGTAATGATCATAATATTGTAATGTAATGAACGCAAATATACGCGAAAAGTAATAATCGTAAAGAGCCGATTTTATTCCCGGCATTCGGCATTAAAAGCCAAGAATTCCGACGGAAACAGCCAGCAACGTCATTTTATATCTTCATCGTCGAGTTTGCCGCGGAAACCCTCTCCCGTGCCCCGCCATTCGCATTATGCACGCGCTATAATCATATTCATATCTGATCCGAATAGCAATTCACAATCCGGCCGTATGTACAAATATCATCATACTGACGAGCTTGTAAGTATTATTATGCGACGGCATGATAGAGACCTCTTCGGCATTCCGTCATGTTCGCGTTTCCCAGATCGAAATAATGCTATGCGGACATTATAATCGTAAATATGGGGCCGCACTTGCCCGCGTGAGGTATCTACATGCCGTCCGCCTCTATTTCAAAAGAGAATTATAATTTATTATTACTACGGATACGCGCGGAATAATAAGCGTAATCGCTGATACACACGCTTTTATTCTTTCACGAACCAGGTCGAGTCCCGATCGATCTTGAATACTTACGCACTCTGCGTCATCCAGCGCGTTACAGTGGTAGTCAAGTTTTTTTCATCTCTTTGACAAAATTATGGAAACTTTCTTTCCGAGATCCAACGAAAATTTAATGTCCGTGTTCTTTGACAGTACATGCTTTACATAATAAAAATATTCAATTTTGTATTATAAAAAGAGCTAATAGATGTTATTTGCGAATAACATCTATTACTTTAAATAAGATAATTATGATCACGAGTTGAGAAACTGAAACTTTATAATAATGATAAGAAATATAATTATAATATTATATATAATCCAAATTTTAGTACATTGATATGTATATACACGTTAGTGGTTCTAACACTGATATTTTGAGCTAACATAAAAATATTAAATTGCTGTAATAATGACTTAAAAAAAAAATAGAGAGAGAAAAACCATCTATAATCATTATAACCATTTATAAATCTTAAACAAAAGGTTTAAAATTTTTCGATATTTTCGATATTAAGTGTGATAACGCTTCGTTAATCGAGACAGATGCTTAGCCAAGTTCGACATCTGCTCTACTATTCTGTACATGAGACTTATGGCTGTTATAGGGGCGGCCGATAAATCGAAGAACTCGAGTGAGGAATATCAATTCGCGAGGTGGCCTCTACTGAACGTGGCGCGACATTGAAAGGAATGTAAATGCGTTATGAGTACCGGCCCAGTTCTATAGTGTCACGAAGCATTCGTCAACGTGTCCGCCTGTGGCTTACAGATTGCCCTATAAATGAACGGTAGTCCCAGAAAACGCATGATTCGAACTTTAGACCGTACGTGATGCGCAGACAAGTCGAATTTTGTGGAGAAAGACAAGTACGTGACAATAAAAATTCAAAAAATCAATCCGAACATTCTTATATGTGCCAGCTGTTTGCCTGTGCCTACAAAATTGAAGATATAACAAGTACGTGAGCCGCGTGTTAACGTAACAAAGCATATAAGCAGGAACTTAACTGGAAACTTTTACAAGGCGACGAGTAAAAATCCAAAAAAATATTTTCTTTGAATTATAATTGGATTAGCAATATGAGAACATTACTTGGTAAAAACAATACTAGAAATATGAAATAGAGAAAACAAAAATTTAAATTGTTGAAGTATAATTTTAAATAAAAAAAAATATAAACATATAAAAATTTTATATTTGCAAAGTCTATAATAGTGTAGTTATAACACGAATGCATTAACGCATTTGAAATGTATAAAACGTTTAGTAATTATTGTTAACGATGTTTATTATCAAACAC